CCAAGTGATTGGCTGATTATATTTACGTTAAGGAGCAGAAGTGGCCAGAGAGTGTATTTGTTTGTACACTGGTCACATACTGACTGACTATTTAAGTACTTTACACAGAAAAAGAGACAGACACTAGTGTATGTAGATGTAGATATACTAAAATCATTTTGTTGAGAAATAGGTGGATGAGGGTGTGACGTTTATCTTCTTTATCCAACAAGATCAAACTCTTCCTTAAGGAGGCAGGATAGACAACAATGCAGTTTTGGCAGTGGAGGACTCCCCACAGCTGGTTCATTAAACATTAATGTAAACCATACAGGAATATAAAGCTGAAGGGTTTGGAGAGTGTGTGTTTAAGTTTGTTATGGAACATGCTCCAAATTGGTAATTAGTATTGCACTTTGTCACTGCCTTGAAAGTCCAGACTTGTTGATCCAGAAAATGATTTGCCACAGGAGAAGTTAAAACCTGAGGGTTATTTTTTAATATTCCCTCTCTTCTGCTGACATAATGAGCCACGTTGGCACAACAGCTCATAAAAAGTCCCATTACTCTTTTTTTAGTTTGAGATATTTGACTCTGTTTTCTGTATTTTTATTAGAAATCTGCAATGTGGAAATGTTTTTAAATTAGTAGACTTAATTTCACCTGACGAAGCTGAAAAGCAGCAGGTGACACACCCATGACTTCTATTTGGCTTCCTAGCTAATTTTATTAATATCAGGATCATGAATTTCCAATTATCCATGCATTATTCATGGCTGATTCACCATCTTATGCAGTCCTCCTCCTCCTGTTATGTAATTCATGTTTTGAATTTTTACCCACATAGACTCTGTGCACATATTGACTAGATTCTCTTCATTTTGTTGCAGTTTCTGTGGGTATTTCTTATTTTTTTGGCAGAAGTTATGATGTAAGCTTTTACTGTACTCATGTATTATTACATGTCTTTGACAGAAAATTTTAATTGTGGTATTTCATCTTTTCCTGGTTTGTAATAATATCATCAAATGTCCTTACCAAGTTTTACCTGCATCATTACATACAGGCTTCTCTCCAGGCAGAACTGGAATCACTTAGCACTACTACATTTTACTATATTTATTCATTTAATTTCCATAACTTGATAGACATGAGTCAGTAACAGCAACCCAGTAAATAGACAGAACTGATAGAGTCCGTCAGACTCAGTACTTATTTCTTGAGTAAAGTGTCTGGGGAATTCTCAGAGTGGTGAGTAATAACGTTGTCCTTCAGTTACTGACAGTTTGTAACTTTGGAGCACTTCTGAGGTCTACTCTTCATGCAAGGAGAAGAAAAACAGAAAAGAAAATGACAAACTTGACTCTATGGACCTTCGGACAACCAGCCGAATGATGATCTAGAAACTAAATATAATCTGCTCTTCTGATTTACAGCAGCTTTATATGGAAGCTGTCCTCTCTGGAGCTCACTGATAGCAGCAAATGCCCTCCTGCAGCACAATGATTGTGATGTCATCCGACCTGACTGCTGATAGGCTGCTCAGCCAGGTCACTGTCACACACCGCACACACACACAAATACACACTTAGCCTGGCCTGGAGGAGTACTGAGTTCAGGCCAAAGAGCTTTTCATCGTCGAGTGAGAATCACGTAATGGAGAGAGAGAAAGAGAGCACGACATGCTCATTCAGGCTGAGTGTGTGTGTGTGTGTGTGTAGGTGTGTGTGTGTCCAATATAGGGAGATTTAATCTTTAATCAGCGTTATTGTACCCTGCACACTGATATAGACACACAGTATATAATTACATCTGCTGCACTTGCACATACACAGGTGTCAGTGGGTGTATGTTTCTCGCTCCACTCGACACTACGGCACACTTTTACAAGTGTCCTGCGTCTTTGTGTTTTCAGCAACAAACTGGAACAGTCCGAAAGGAAGAGTCACACAAAGATGCCATGACAGCAGCTCTGCGTGGAGACTAATACATTTAGGGCCTAACACCAAACGTTCACAATGCATTTGAGAGATGTCGGGGTGGATTCGAAGCGGTGCCGTGTCCCAGTTTAATGACCTGCTGCTGGCTGCTCCACTTTAACTCCTTTACATCTTACAACACGTTCTCACTCTGCTGACTAGCAGCTTGACTTTAAGGAAGCGGGGCTTAACCTCTGAGGAAGCTCCGAAGCTGTTCCAGTCTCCTCTGATCAAACAGCTAAATGGGGTCGAGGCATGTGAGCTGTAACGTCACCAGCAGAAGGCGCTGCGAGAAATGCTGCTATTGCTCTGTTATAAAGAATTCAAATGCTTTAGGGCTGTTAAAACAGACTCGACATATAATAGCACATCTAAAATTAAAGACTTGACCTGATGATGCTGGTGTAGTTTATTAAGAGGGAAACAAACTTAATTTGATAGCACTTGTGGAGCAGTTGTGGAAGAGCATTATTTCAGACCCCAAACATCAGTCTCAGGAAAGTAACCAAATTACTGAAGTCAGTAGGAAACTAAAGATCTACACGGTTGGGTTTTAGGACACGGATAGAAATTATGTACCAGACAATTTTATTATCTAAGTGATTACATACTGGAAGTGTTATGCTTGATTTGATATATTTACTGGAATTAATAGGTTAAGGATTTGATCTTTATATTCAGGCTAACAATTTAGGATCCTGTACATCAGGGGTCGGCCACCTTTCTGATGACGAGTGCCATTTAAAATTTCCTCAGAAGTCAATGTGCCATATGATTGCATTAGCAATAAATTTAATAACGCTCTATATTAACAGTTACACACTATATAGAAAAACTTTATAGAATTATATTTGTTCGCAGATGTTGGCAACTATCAGCGAATAGTTATCAGCTATTTTGAAACAAAAAAAAAGACACTTTTTAATCCATAACAAGAAAAAACAGCAAATGAACTGTACAACAGAAAATACAAATGCTATTTATGGTCTCCTCACAACAATCATAAGAAAAATAAACTGGGCCAATATGGCATGTTTGTTAATACAGAGACACACATGTTAATGTGATCTCTGGTCTCCCACTCAGAGACACAGGTCTCCGAGTGTCCAGCATTCAGACGGCTACCTGAGGACACTCATGTGAGAGAAAATCTGCTCACACAGATATGTAGAGCCAAATACTGTCAATAAGGCCTCTGCAATGTTCTGAAGACAGTTAAACTTCTCGGGTAGTGATGTCCAGCAGGTGAAAATGCAAGCTGTATGAACACGCACAGCTGTGGATTCCAGCTGCTTCGATGTTGCATTAATGGCATTAACTCAGCCAGTTAATGCCAGTTAATGCGAGACAAATCCAGCTGCTCATTAAAGATTTCTGGTTTGATCAGAAAATAAAACATTGGTCCATACGCCTGAAAGTCCCAAAAACACATTGTGAATTCTGTCTCGAGTCTACGGATGTATCCGTGTATCTCCATGGTGCTGATGCTTTGCTGAGCGGAAAGCTCCTGAAACTTTTGAAGTGTCGGAATGTGGAAAGCTAACAACGTCCCTCTAACTAGGTTAGGTAAGTTATTTTTAGCCAATTACAAGTTGAATCTGGTACTTGGGGTTGTTAGCTAAGATACCGTCATTAAGAAGCGGCACAACTAATGTGTCTATGCGAGCTAATCTTTTTACGGGACAGTTGGCAACTCTACTAACCTTATGAATAAAATAAAGTTCATGCTAGCTAGCACGCAGTACGAGTTATTGTAACTGACTGTAAAAAGTCAGCACAACGAAAATAAACTCCACCTAAACTTGGTTTATATCTGACCCAGATAGACTGCAGGTCATAACTTCTTACCTGCAGTTCAGTTCACCTGACTGGACCGGGGGCCGCCTCGGGTCTCTCCTCCTGCCTCCCCTTTCTCTCATCCACCCACTGGCCTCCACCACTTGCTATGTTACTCCGCTAATGTTACTGAATCTGTGGAAGCTACGCCATAGCCACCACCAAACAACTGGCCAGCATCTGGCCAATCCACCACCTTCGATTGTTTATACCGTTACAAAAAAATAAATAAAAAATCATCGGCCCACCGAGCAAATGCCGGGTACGCCCGATGGCCAGTCCAGCTATGGTCGTGCCATCAGTTAACCCTAGGGTTGCCGACCCCTGCTTTACATTATCCACATTCTGTATCATATTCCATCAATACTTTACACAGAACACTTACACTGTATTGTTTGACCTCATAATTTGTATTAATAGTTGACTTAGATATTCTTAAACCTCTTACAGATTTTTTAATGTTGTGGTTTAAATAAGGATTTTAAAATTCTGAATTTACATCTTTTCAGTCTAAAGACGATTAACAAACACTTTACATTTGGGACCCGGCAATACTAAAACTAAACCAAACCATTAAACCATTTTATTTTATTTAAAAATGTTGAGGTATTCATATATATTAATTTCTATTTTAACTATAAGACAAGTCGGGCGATTACAAAAGTCACTGAGAGCTACTGGGAACTGTCACGAACTGCATATAATCAATTTAACAGAGATATTTTAGAGTGAATGGACTCACAGCCTATACAACAGCAGCCACAGCATAGCTCACAATGCTGACATAACTAGCAGATGCTGAGGCGGAGCTAAACATACAGAGGCTGCGTAAAAAACTGCAGTGATGATGTCACTTGATGCGGGTTCAGTTTATCCTGTCAGACCTCAATCTCCAATCTAGCATTCACACACAGACACACACACACACACGCGCACACACACAGTGTAACCTCTCCCAGGGGGCAGCAGCTGTTGATGATGATGAGCCAAAGTCACGCTTGCTCAGCAGACAGCAGTCAGACTTTACAAATTAACGTCCCATTTAGCTCTTAATGCCCCTCTGGGTATCCTGACAACTGGCATGATGGTTGCCATGGGAGTGCAAAGTACAGACTAGTTATTTCCTCTCACGCAGGACACAAATCACCTGCCTGTCAGTTTATGACTGAAAATGTGAGGCAAAACAAGATGTAGCCCTGGTCCTACCTGCAGTCGTGCTGGAAGGAGCGCTGAGGCCTGAACTTAAGCCGGGAGTCGGAGTTAGTCCTGCAGGCTGAGAACTGAGCCCTGTGACCTGGGGAAGAGACCTGGACTGGGTCCCTACTCATATCAAAGACATCAAAGACCCATTAGAACATATAAAGAGCCGACAATAAGAAGAATAATCTCTGCTGCTGCTGCTACACTTGATTATTATTTAGTTTCCTTTCCATTTAAAATATTTGTTTGGATCTCGGGGAACACAATTAACAGTTATTTAACTAATCTTACGTTAGCGGATTTTTACATGCGCTTATGCAGACGCTGCTGTGATACGACAGTCACATTACAGAAGGGAATTACCTGCTGCCTGCTGCCTGTTGTCTCCAGCCTGCAGCTGTCTCACTCTCCGGAGGTGAGACCTGCCATTGTAGTGCAGCTGGGCCTGAGCAGCAGAGGTCAGCTGCAGGTTACACACCTCACACAGCGAGTACGTCCCGCTCTGACCTGAAAAGAAAAGCAGAGACGAGACGAGAAAACTACATCGTTTGCCTTGAGTTGCAGAGGTACATTGTGCTGCCGATCACTTAACAAGCCAGTCACCTGAGGATGTAGCGTGTGGGACAGAGAGACTGATGGATGTAGGTGTGGGCGTGTCCATCAGCTCTTGACACATCCCTCCAAAGCCAAAGATGTGCCCACTGTCCAGGAACTGAGAGGGGCTGAGAGGAGTCTTCATCCCTGCAGAAGAGAAGAGAGAGAAACACAAATTACAATCACTGTTCTCAGTTTTTATGTAACATGGAATTATTAGGGGATAATTCTCCCAAAAGTTGCATTAAGGTTTAAAATAACTAAACACCAAAGACATCTACTTTTTCATTTTAACTTGAATGAGCTTTGACACTTTGAATTGAAGAGCTGACTATCAGAAAAAAACATATGATACAGGTTTTGTTGACCTGAACATGAGCTAAGCATGTGCTATAAAATAATATATAAAACTATAAAACAGCGGTGCAAAAAGGTTAGAGTTATTTTAATTTGCCTACATCAGGAGTCAGTGTGCCAGCTCCAAAGGTTTACCAGCTCTGTAAGGAGTCACTCTCTCAACAATTAAATAAGTTGCAAATCCACTCAGATGACCTTCAAAGAAACTGAAACTTAAATTTCCTAATCACACCAGTTAATATGTGTTACTAGAAGAGATTATCTTAAAGTCACTAGCAAAGAAATCCAGAGAAACATCAAAAAATAACACTGAAGTGATTCAACATAGCAGCTCTGCTTGCAGCGCCAGCGCGAAGGTGACACCAAACATCGGGATGTCCTAAACAGGAAGACTCACTGAGGGACGGACGGGTGGACGGACAGACACGAGTGAGGCCTGAATGACACCGGAAACAAAGCGCGAAGCATCAAACGCTCACAGGGAAAGTGATGAAGTAATGACTAAGAGGAGAGAGAGAAAGCATGACGTGTGTGTGTGTAGGTCAAACCATGACTGTGTCCATCTGCTGTCCTGGCAGCGCTGCCAAGTCACATGACCTCCAATAAACCACACACCCTCTCATTTAGTTTGGTTTGCTGCCACAATGTACATTACTCATATAAATACAGGGACACGATCATTACGGCACTAACTCAAGGTCTACTTCCCTCTACTATCGACACTCGATATCGCCCGTGTGCACAGCGGCACAAAATAACTCATTATGAGTGAAACTATAGTTTCTGCACATAAAAAACATTAAATTTTTACAAAAAAAATGTGTGAAACAGTGCTTTTTTTTTTTTTTTGGCCTGTCCCGTTTGGCTCTTTTTGCCATCAGAATTATTGTCTAAAGGCGAAGAAAGATGCCCAACGGATTT